GATAAAAAAAATTAAAAAGTACGATATTGTACTTTTACTTACTAAATCAGAAAAAAATGCATGTATCCTAGGATAATAGGATATTAAATAAGATATTAAAAACGAATTTAAAAAAATGAAAGTTCTAAGTTGCATTTAAAAGCTCATAAACGCTTTTAAGTCCAAACTTTTTATGTTAGTTACGATAGTTACGTAGTCACCTCGTTTTGATTTGACGTTGAGTTCTGGAGCACCCAGTATATATATATATCTATATATATAAAAGAGGATCGCTTTATGTTATAACACTTATAACTCACGAACGGCTGAACCGATTTAGATGAAAATTGGCAGGGAGGTAGTTTAGAGCCAGGAGAAGGACTTAGGATACTTTTTATCCTTTTATTTCATTCTAATTCAAAATTAATTATTTATAAACTATCCATGTAGTTTATTCAATCTATGATACTATCAATGATTTCATCCATGACATTTACATTCGATTGTCAACTGTCATTCGGTGTTTCTGTTTTGATACAAATATATTAATATGCATTTCTTAATGACCATTATTTGAAAATTATTACGTGAATAATATAAATATTTTAATCGCCACGGAAAATTAATACAAAGTGGCAAATAAATTAATTCTTAATAATAGCAAGCGATGCTAGATGGACGATGGGGAAATTTATTTCTTGAAAATGGAAATGTAATTATTTATATAATTAGGTATATATGTATATTTGTTTATACGTATTTAAATAGAGTATTTGAGGTGTTTATATTATATATCAGCAATAAGTATAATCATCAACAAATTAATAAAAAAAAATATTCTGAAATATAGTTTCTTGACATAACCTCAAAATTTGTAATAAAAATGTAAATAGTTATACATTAATTGCTGTTAATTTGTAATTTCTTCATACATATCTTATAAAATGTTTCAGGTGTTTACAACTAATTGGCATATATATATTATCAGCAAATGTGCTTTGATTCGACAATAAAAAGGTCTAATTGAAGTAATCGACTACCTTAAGTTAACTATAGTGTTAGAATATTAGTTTTTGGTTCTCATATATTATAACCCAGCTATAAACCTCACGGAGCCCCAGACCTTTCCAGCGAATGCAAAATTGTTGAATTCGGTTTGTGCATTCTGGAGTTATATCGTCAGAACTTATAACTCAAGAAGGCTGAACCGATTTACCTGAAAATTGGCTTTGGTAAAGTTGGTAAAAGTTGGTGCTTTGATTCGACAATAAAAAGGTCTAATTGAAGTAATCGACTACCTTATGTTAACTATCGTGATAGAATATTAGTTTTTGGTTCTCATATATTATAACCCAACTATAAACCTCACGGAGCCCCAGACCTTTCCAGCAAATGCAAAATTGTCGAATTCGGTTTGTGCATTCTGGAGATATATTGTCAGAACTTATAACTCAAGAAGGCTGAACCGATTTAACTGAAAATTGGCTTTGGTAAAGTTGGTAAAAGTTGGTTCAGAGCCAGGAGAAGGACATAGGATACCTTTTATCCCGTTTGACTTGGAATAACAATAAGCAAATGACAGCTATGTAATCACGTATGGATGACAATTCAATATTTGTAAGGAATTAATAATAAAATTATTTATTTTAAATAAATAAATAACAATTATAATATAATGATAGTGCCATTGCCCATTCGTATAAACAGTGAAGCGAACTATGTATAACTCAGTATGGTTGACAAATCATATTTTTCTCAAACACAATGCTCTGAAAGAACTCATTTGTATAATTATGTACACATTGGTATTTATAAAACCTTTTCTAGATTATTCAGATTTAGAACCTAAATTTGGAATCGATCAAAGGAACATTTTGTCGAATAGCTTATTTCCAGTTATAATTTCCTGAATTTATTCAAGAATGGATAGTAATATATGAAGATCCACGACCGAAGTGTCAAAAACCAGTAAAGCTAAGCATTGTTTAACAACAGTATTTGAATGTAAAGGGAAAATATGTATAATCAGCTATAACCTTGATTCTTATGACTTTGGTATTGGGAGATAAATGGTAATCTTTGAAAATCCATAGTAAAAGTATTTTCTTCCATTGGTAGTTTTCTAGCAATTAGTTGAAAATGTAATTATTTTGTAAAATACTTTTGAAATTAAAATATGACATTAGACCTGTTTTCCATCTGGCCGCTCCAAGTTACCCCGTTATAGGGTAAAAAGGTCTAGATAAAATTTTTTTTAAAGACAGCAAAAAAGCACGTTTTTACAATGATGAAGTAGCTGGTAGTTTTACTGAACGTAGTCAGATAATTGTTCATTTGAAATGTGTCATTTGTTGTGATGTAATTGGTTTGATATTCATAATAAAATTTATATTTGCTTAAAGTCAAATTGGACCTTTGTGCCTTGCCCTGTTCTACATATATACTTTTTATTAAATTTACTTTTATTCATCGAATATTACTAGAAACTTTTCAAAAAGCAGGTCAAAGAAGAGATACCTAAATCATTTTGTATCTCTCCTCGCAGAAATTTGAAAATTTTGTATAAGCTCAATAGTATTATTTACAATTATACACAAAATCCAGAATCCAAAAAAAATTTCAAAAAATTTGAAACGCATTCAATAATAATCGATTAAATGGAATTTGTAATGACTATATAAGTCGAAAGACCAACAAAGACTTGGATTGAATTATGCCATGTTTTCTATAGAAAGTGTATAAAACTTTCAGTTTGGTTGTAATAATAAAATATATACAAACTAATGGGGTTTATTGTTTCTATAATACCTCATTGTATATAGCAATTCAAACAACACATCCTTACACAAAAAGTATTGATTTTTTAGATACTCTAAAAATTGTTTATAAAATAACTTACTTAGCAAAACAACGTTTGCCGGGTCAGCTAGTATATATATATATATATATATATATATATATATGTGTGTGTGTGTGTGTGTGTGTAATATATTTATTTTACGTTCGTGCACACTGATTAGTTGATTTTGATCATTAGTACGTCAAACAAAAATTTATGCTGGTAGGAAGAAATCTTAAGTTCTTCCAAAAAAAAAAATATGTAACAGCCATGTTGGTACTTCTTGGTCATTAAGAAGACTGATACTTTGTTTGCTTTAGATTTTTAAACATCTCGAATAATTTTTCAAAATAAAAAAATTATACATTATAAACAATTTTTTGGAGATATTGTTTAACCATCCAAAGATTATACTCCTCATCAGAGTTCTTTTATTACCGTGACTCTCATCATAAGGAAACACTTATAAATTATCAATTTTCAAATAATTTTTATTGATATAATTCCATTACATTCGTGTTTAATTTAATTCTTCCATCGTGCAATTTATTACGGAATATTTTTTAATAATCGGGCTCGTCAAAAAGAAATCTCGTGCAGGTTGGGAGATGGCACGATCGCCGTATAAAACACTTTCTCCGTCGGAACGCGTTATTCCCAACGAATGATGGTTGTTTTGCCATCATACTGACAGATTGACGGTTTGGCATCATTCCAAAGATGATGTTTACGAATTCATAACGATTAATTAATTGCGAAGTATCTAATGATGGATATTTATAGTAGAAAAATATCTAGGCATCATGCGTATTGATGCGGAATTAAATTGGAGAACTTGCATTGGCGACAAGAATAAGGGAGTACAATTGGAGGTGAGGGATTTATGTATACCATAACTTAAAGGGAGCAAATGCATTCTTTTTTCATCGACGATATTATTGAAAGTTTTGCATTTTATTAAGGCTGTGATACATTATTATATCCATAAATAAGAAAAAATAGGAAAGAAATGGGCAAATGACTTCTATTGCTTGTAATCGAACGCATGGGATTTAAATGACAACGTTCATCTCCATTACCATTCTAATTTATTTTATCAGTTTAATCAAGGAGTGATTTTTTAGGTCATTTTGCTTATTGATTTTTAGAATTCTCGAATAATTATTTAAAATAAAAAAATGATAAATTACACATTTTTTTGAGAGATGTTGTTCAACAATTTTACTCGTAATGAATTAATGTATTATACTCATTATTACTAAATTATACTCGTCATGAAGAGAAGTAGCATAATTTTCGGTGTCGATGAGTATATTTGTCATGCCTAGGTGACTATTAGCTTTTGCAATTGAAATTTTTGAACTAGTGGTGCATGGCATCGTGCCTTAAGGCAATTAGCTGGAACTTTCCGTACCGAAAATTAAAATTTTTAAAAACCTTTAAAATATTTTGAAAAGTTTGAAAAAAATTAGATGGTTGAGAATTTTGAAAGTTTTGAAAGAATTTGATTTTTTTGAAAAAATTGATAATATTTTATACCTGGAATTTTTCAGAAAATTTTAAACCTTTTATCAAAACAATCGTGCTGCGTGGCTGTTTTAGATAAGAAATATCGATGCGCGTAAGCGCCGCATCGCAATCTAACGTATAAAAATTGGTATGGAACCCACGTAAATGTACACAAACTTATTGTGTACAAACCCGACTGGAAATTGAAGTATGGCGCGGATCAGGGCTGCCCTAAATCAAGTAGGGTCCCAGTGCGGCAACCGTACTTGGCCCCTATGCGATATGTAACGCCTTGCCGGATAAGGTCTGTGTTGGGCAAACTGTTCCGGGCCCTAATCGAAAATATGAAATGGCCCCTATAAAAATATCGAACTTGGCCCTTAACTTAAAATAAGCATATGGCCCTGAAAATAATATGTGATATGGCCCTGAAAAATATATTTGATATGGCCCTGAAAAATATATTTGATGCGGCCCTGAAAATAATATGTGATATGGTCCTGAAAAATATATTTGATATGGCCCTGAAAAATATATTTGATGTGGCCCTGAAAATAATAATTGGCATGGCCCATAAAAAATGCATATGCTAAATTTTTTTTATTAATTCTTTTGATAACAATATTTTAATATATAATAACAATAAATAACAAATGTTAATTAGGTTTTATTGGTCCGCCTATGATCTCTCCCATTCTCCCAATCACGGGAATAATTTATAACCTTCCCGAGGGCTTGGTTAAATGCTTGCTCTTTAATAGGGCTCAACTGCGGATTTTTAATTGATTCAGTTGTCATTATACCTGTAACAAAATGTATAGCCATAAATAATAAAATCATCTATGTGTACTGTGTGAATAATACCTACCATATAAACACTTCACAAGTTCACTGTCTTTAAGACATTAAACACTAAAAAAATAAAAACTAAAAATTAAAATTAAATTATTCGATAATAATAAAAAGAAAAATACACGATAAATTGTTAACAAGAATACACTTACTTGAAGCATTGCGCGACTTATTGCCTAAATTTATGTTACATTCCGACAACTGCTGATCGACGTTATTCTGATTTACAAAACGCCCTTTATTCAAGCGGTATTGTTTTTTTAGAACATCTTGCCTTCTGTTTATGGTTTCTTCATTGTCCGTAGAAAACGCATATTCCTTTTGTTGCAATATTTTTAACTTTTCCAAGGCAATTTAATATGTATCTGAAATTACAACTCAAATCAAAGATATGTTTATATATATATATATATATATATATATGTGTGTGTGTGTGTGTGTGTGTGTGTTTGTGTGTGTATGTAACAAAATACACAATACGTAGTTGATCAATAATACTTACTCGCGTAATCTCGTACATCCACCTCATGAAGACTCCAATTATCCGATGCTGGTGCCGCCCGACGCTTCACCAAATCTTGAAGAAGAAGTAAATTTTCTCCCGATAGCTCATAATTATTTAAAAATGGGCATTCGAATTTATCTTATCTTCATTATATATCAACCAATCCACCGGCACTACATCGATACTCTATTTTCACTTGTATCATTGGGAAATAAAACAACACAATACACTACTTTTCCACTGATTATTAAACGATAATTACACGACGTTCTTTTAAAACAAATAAAAATATATCGTAATAATATTTCGTAATTTTCGCACTTCCTATTAAACACATAACGACCGCTTAGCTTGGCATTCAGTAATGAACTAAAAAACTAACAATGGTCCTCTTTGATAGAAGATGAAGTTCTTACATACATGTATTGGTGCCTCGATCGTATTCCATATTATCAATCAATGGTTTATATAATATCATATGCAACGGCGCGATGATGATCTCTTTCTCTGCATTCAATATATACTTATATATATATATATATATATATATATATATATATATATAAATTTTTATGGGTCGTCGAATAAAAAATTAATGTACTATTAATTTTTTTACGTAGAACTTCAATATTAGATCTATTTGAACTAATATCAGTATTTCTGTCCACATAAAAAAATTGTTCGAAATAATATTTGACAAAATGTTTGTTGCCTATTCGTATTATATGAGCAATCATAAATGTATATTGTTCACAATCTGCTGTACGCCGGCATCTATAAAGTTAACGTGTGACATAGCGCCGATCTTTCTTACTCTTGCCCACTCTATTTCATTCGATGTTAATGTTTAGCAGTATTTAGAATATGTTAAAATGAAATGTAAAACTTTTGATATTTATTATTGAAGTAAAATTATGTAAATTTATTTCAGTTTTTCTACTTGTCCTATGTCAAGGTCCTATGCTTTAGATAGACCAAGTACGCATAAGAAAAAGGTCATCGATCCTGTTTCTGATTGTTACACTTTCGATACTCGATATGAGTTAATATTCATGTATAGTCTAGACTCTAAAATGAATAAATACGATATATGTGTGCTGGACGAATTTTCTAAGAAGGTCCTATATCTTATGCAAACAGTTCACGTACGCAGAATTGATCTTATTATTTCTACTTATTACATTCGATATGATTATATATATATAATTTCAGTGAGGAAACTACTACTATTATTAATAAATTGATCATAACTTATAGTACATTAATTTTTTTATTCGACGACCCATAAAAATTTATATATATATATATATATATATATATATATATATATATATTATATGTCTCACATGACAAAATCGAAAAATAGTAATATACCTAATAACTTCTAATCACAAAAAGTATTATTTTTATTAAAAAATTATTTTATTGTATTCGCTATAATTTTAATATCTTGTTATATAATCGATTCAATAATTATTTTTATTGTTAATAAATTTTATGTAATTTCCTATCTTTCATGATTTTATTAATTTTATTAAAAAAAAAACACTTTTTGGTTTTGTATTACCATTGGATTTTTTGTTCAAAGTTGTATAAAGCTTTCGTAAATTCGTATATTATATTTATAATATATTGATAATAATGAATACGGTATCATGCAGATTATGGAAAGAACGAAGAAATATATTGTTACCGATTACATATTGTTATTATTTATTAATAGTTATTTTTTATTATTAATTATGTAATTTATTTCTATATTTATTTTAGACTATAACGACAATCATTGATCAATAATACACATTATAATCCTTTTTTTTTTACAAAATATTAATAAATCAAACTATTTTGATTCTATTGATATTGAATCCTAGTAGGATTCAAATAAAGAATGCAGATAGGGCTTGTCTAAATAATCTGTGGGTAAGCCGTATTAGGGCTCTAGTAATGAATTTCCAATACGGACCGTATCATCATATCATGGGCAATACGTATTAGGGGTACAATAGGGCATCCGAATATGGCCCGTTTCAATTATTATAGGGCAATCCGTGTTAGGGCTGAATTCAGGCATGCCTTTTATGGACCCTATTCAAATTACCATATTAGGGCCGCCCATATATGGCCCCTATGAGGGCCACGCACTAAATTCCGTAATACGGACGCCGGAGTACAGCCCTATAGGGGCCTATAGGGGCCGGACCTGAGTTAGGGCTTGCCGTAACAAATTTCCACTCGGGAACTTGAGCTTATTATTAAAATCTCTATAAAATATATGATAATTTAATGCGCATATGTCTAATGATCATTTTTGACCGCCAAGTTGCATTCTTCACTCTTTTCATTGGATCTCCAAAACCACCTGACCTGCCTTTCCAAAAATTTGATCAACTATTCATTTTGTAAATACAAGAAAATCTTTATTAAATTATTCAAATCAGACGCTTCGTTCTCTCAAAAATTTAAATACCATTTTTGGCACTTTTTTCCCCGTATCTCTGAAACGACTAGACCTGCCTTTGCCAAAAACTAATCAACACGTCTTCTTATCAAGAGGAAACAAATGTTTTTGTCGAAAAATTATATCCGAACATACACACACTCACGCATACATCATTTTTTTCTAAGGTGTGCCAAAATATTCAGAAACCTCTGAAACGTAAAGATATATAAACATTTTCTATTTTTATTTCTTTGCGATTACTATAACTTATCTTACGGGAAGTTAATAGATCTATCCTAAATTGCCAAGGTTGTTGAGAATATTTTGACTGTACAAATAAAATAAGTAGCTGTAAGTGGCATTTTACCTTAAGGCAAGTTGCTCGATTTTCCAGAAATGTAGAAATAGTGTACTTCATCAATATAAATTAAAATTTAGCTGTTGAAAAAACTCTTTCTACTGTTTATTTTGAAAATAGTTTTTAACTATGATCATATATGTTAAGTTTTCAGTTTTTGCCTTAAAGACATGTCTTAATACTGATTGTATTCTTCACAAACACTATATTTTGTTGATACAGTTTTTATAATTGATACAGATTTTCTATTGATTTTGATATTTACATATATCTTGGTCTTAAAATACAAGTTTACGTTAAGGCAAATTACTTTTCCCAGTAAATATTATTCGAATAACCTTATTCTTTTCTCCAACTAGAATTCTCACGACTAAGGTAGGATCATCGTAGTTATCTAATCGTAAAATATATGAAATGAGAAATAACTTTCGCAATATCAGACATATATGATCAGAGAAGCATATGGAATCCAGGTGGTATTTCAATACCAAATATAAATAGTAGCATCGTTATATTGTAAATAACAGATGAATGGTACGTTGGTTCTAAATATTTTGCTGTCATCTTTTTTTTTGTCAGTTATTAGTGATAAACTAAAATTTTATTGGATTGAATCTGACTTAAAATTAACAATACATCTTAGAAAACAATTTAATAACGTATACTTAAAAATTATATTCAAGTCTCGTAAACTAAACAACAGTGCTCACAATCAAAAAAATTAACAACGAAAGAAAATACTTTTGTTACGGATTTTCAAACAATGTCGTTAAGTAAGAGTCAAGGTGATGGTTGCAGCCAACCATGGTTATACATCTTTTGCACTCTACTTTCAAATATTGTTGGTACAAATTTTTTTTACTCTATTTGTTTTTTAAAAAAAAATGTTGGCAAAAAGGCGACTGCTTGAAAAAAATGAAAAAAATGATGAAAACTTTTTGAGTATCACAATTTTTTTAAATATAGCAAAAATTTAAATTCAGGGATTAGGCAAGTATATGCCAGAGTGAAGTATATAAAGAAGATCCGGTGGTGGATTTTTTTACCAGCGGGCTTTTAAGCCCCGCTTTACCCTAATGTAAATATTACATTATTTTTTAAGTTCACAAATATGCTGTGCCTTAACTGAATAGAAGTTAATAACAAATTTTATTCTAACAATATGCTTTATGGGCAGTTCCCATTGGGGACAACTGCAGAGGCTATAATGATCATTTGTAACTGGAAAACAATAAGGCAAATTTAAAAAAAAAAAATTAAAAACCCAAAATTCTGCATGACTTTTCCATAACGAATGTATACGTAAATTTGGTTAATTGATACAAAAATACAAAATATTTCAATTATTAACAGTTGTAGAAATCCAAGCTGTCCTTTTGAAAAAGAAGCAAATCGCTTCTTCTTCAGTCGTTTACTATGACCATAAATTCAAGGTTGGTACAGATGCGTGTGCGTGCTGTTCACCTACTTTTCCCGATACAAGAAGCAACTTGTTTTTCCCACCGAACCAACTACTACTACGAAGTCTTCTTCTAAATTAATAGTATACCTACTATGTATGTACCACACTCCATCATCAATATTATCATCATCATCATCAATATAGTTTTCATCATGGAGATTAGAACATCAGAACCAATCGTTGGAGATCTGGATGATCTTTCAATACAGCTATGTATTTTAATGCATATCCGCTTGTAGGAGATCATAGATGGACAAACAGTTATAGGTACCTATTGCGAAAATGATTTTTTTTGCATTTTTAACTTCCTGAAGGTAAGAAAATTCTATAATTACATATTGTGGAGGATTGTCAGTGTTTCTATTGCACGCCCAAGGGATATAAAATCGTGTTAGGCAAAATTGGACTAGATTTCCAAGGATTCTGAAATTAAGGATACAATCGAAGATACTGACATCAACCTGGTAGACGAGTTCCAGGACTCTTGATGTATTTTTGCACTCAAAATTCATATCTTTTAACACCTTTTACCATCGGTAAATTGGACGAGAAATTTTTAGAGATTCTATAATGGGGATTCTACAACTATGGAGCTTCAAATCCAACGTGATAAGAATTCAAGACTCCCAAAATAAATTACTTATAGAAATTTTGAATACCCTAAAGTATGTATCGAATTGGTTTAAATGTAAAATTTTAAGTTTGAATTGGCTTGTTTTCGCTTGAAAATCCTTGATTAAGGGGTTATTCCAGTGTAGAAATTCCAAAAAATCGTTTTTTGTTTTTTTTATGTTTTCAGAGCTTAGCTATTTAAAAATATGTGCAGGTACGAGATGATTTTTTAAAATTTAACTAA